TAGTGAGCTTAGAATACAGGAGGTCACGCTAGAGATAACAGATAAATACAAATATCTGGGCGTATGGATAAGCAATGGGACCGAGTATCTGAGGGAACACGAAATATACGTGACGACTAAAGGTAACAGGAATGCAGCAGTCATGAAAAATAGGGCACTGTGGAATTACAATAGGTATGATGTTGTGAGAGGAATATGGAAAGGGGTCATGATTCCTGGGCTGACGTTTGGCAATGCCGTCTTGTGCATGAGATCAGAAGTTCAAGCAAGATTAGAAATTAAGCAACGTGGAATAGGTAGGCTTGCTTTAGGAGCTCACGGGAATGCACCAAATCAGGGAGTACAAGGTGATATGGGATGGACATCATTTGAGGGCAGGGAAGCTAGAAGCAAGATAAAATTTGAGAAGCGATTGAGAGAAATGGGGAGGAGCGTTGGGCTAGGAAGGTTTTCAGCTACTTGTACATGAAGAATGTCGATACAAAATGGAGGAAGCGAACCAGGAAGTTGACTGGTAAATACTTAGAAAACAGCAGGCGGCCAAACCAAAAAGAACTATCGGTTAAGAAGAAAGTGAAGGAAACGGAGACGGACATGTGGAGAATGGGCATGACTAAAAAGTCCGCACTAGAGATCTATCAAACATTTAAGCAGGAAATTGCCAAGGAAAGAATCTATGACAATACTCGGGGTAGTTCTCTACTGTTTGAGGCCAGGACGGGAGTACTGTGAACCAAGACATATCGGACCAAATACGAAGGGGTAGACACAGTATGCAGTGCATGTGGAGAGGAAGAAGAAACTGCAACACTTGATAATGTTCTGTAAAGGGCTTCACCCTATAGTTCAGGATGATGGCGCAGAGTTTTTCAAAGCACTGGGGTTTAGGGACAGCGAGGGCAAAATAGACTTCAAGCGGGTAGACTTAACTAGAAGGAGGTTATCTGATTGGTGGCTAAAGTCAAGGCACGAGTGAAAATTAAACCCTTCACTGCGAAGTACGAATCCTCAGCTTCATTAATTAAAGGAAAAAAAAAGATAAATGTAATGGTTAGTTCACTAAGTATTACGGCTAGGTGGCGTTAGCCGCCGCCCGATCTAAAGGGTACAGCCACATCCATCCATCCATCCATGTGGCTGGCTTTCCACCCATTTTGAACCACGTTCGATAGCGAATATATACTCAATGTTAGATACTCATTCGTCACTCAGATGCGTTTCAGGTCGCGAATCGCTAATAGGGGGTCGATAGCTACTCGGTGACGGCAAAAATCTTTGCATGCGTAAATTTGATGTCAGTGCTCCTTTAAATCAATTCTGACACAAACACGCAGTGCTTTCTTGTAATATTTGTAACGTTCTTATGGATCGCACTTCGTGTGTCGATTGCGCTAATATGACATCGTAATGGTATTGTGAAATACCTGCTACTTAAACCCCTTAGCAGGTACAGCGACTACAAGTATGATTTATGACTACAACTAGTCATAAATTATAAAACAACAACGATGGTATACAAGTCTCTAACATGCAAAATCCCTCTTCACCTCTCCGTTTTCTATCCCTTCATAACTGCAAACAAGAGCGCGCCATTATGGTAACTTCCTAAAACCACCGGTTAAAAATGTTTATGGCAAAAGACGGCTTTATAGTGTTGGAACGTCATTGTGGGATAACCTACCAGTGGAAGCGAAACAACAGAATGATTTCACATTAATGCTCAAACGACATAACAAAGAGCCCTATTAGACTACTGATAAGGTTCGTGAAATGATGCAAAGTGACATGACGTTAAACTAACGCTTTGTATGCTGACTAGGAATGCTATTACCAGATGTAGAGAAATATTAGATGCATAATTATGTTAAATATGCAAACCGAAAACAGTGTAGTGTATAAGCTGGATTTTTCTTCTTCAACGTGTTCAGTATCTGTGCATAAGTGATATAATTATCAAAACAATCTGCATTATAGGCTAAAATGTTCTTCATAGTACAACTTTATCTCCTGCCTGTAATTTATGTATGTTATAATTGCATGTATTTATACTAGCATGCTGCGAAGGATTCAGATGTTGCTAACATGTTTTTCTTTACTGTAGGTTGTTTACTCATAATGAAGTTCAAAGCTCAGCTGCAGCTTCAGGAGGCAAGTTATGTGCTGTATGGTCTTGTATGTAACATCAACCACGGCAACCTCAGAAACCCGAAGATGGGAATTATCGACATTTGCAAGCTAACATGCATATTGATCGACGTGATGAAGAAGCAGACGTGAGATGAAGTCGCAAGATTTGCGACCTGCTCTCGTCTGCACTGGCCTCTGGCCAGAAAATTGCTGCACTTTTGCTTCCAACAACAAAGCAATCTTTTTTTTTTTTAGACACGCAATAAGTGAATTAAGACTACATGGTGCTTACGAAGCTTTTTTTTTTTTCTATGATGTGAGATACACGATTATATCAGAAATGCAGCCGCGCTTGCCAATGAGCGACTCTCCTGTTGCAGAAAAAAAATACTGTGGCTTGAGCGAGCACGTGAGGGTGAACAGCGCAATGGCAATAAAAGACAGAAAACAAGGCGCGAAAAAGGGCAACTGGCCGGAGAAACCACTTCAGATAAAATTCCCTCTGGCTATATTAATGTTGAAGCATCACCGACGCAGCTTCAGTAGGGTCGCTTATGAACATGACTAAAACTGCAGCAAGTTTAGTGTAACACTTTAAAGGCTAACAAGCTCATAGCAGCTGCACTGTCAAGCCGCGATCTACTGCAATCAGTTCGGCGTTCTCGCTTTCAGTCTCCCCTACTGGTGCCGCCGCAGCGGCCAACTGGAGCACTAGGCGAGCCCCGGTGCATCCGTTCTACACAGCAGGCTGCAGTATTTTTCATCGAGCGATTGTGGCACACACAAGCTTTGTGTGGTTGTGCCTTTGACTGTAAAAAACAATATTGCCATACTTTACCAGTAGTTATGCTATTAATTTTTTACCAGATACTTTTTTTAACTTAAAAATAAGAACGTGAATATTCATACTTTTGAACATTTCACCTATAATGTTTAGCAATTCGATTTGCAACTGAATTTACTATTCGAACTTTTTGAAGACTAATATAATACAGTCAATATTGAATTGCCAGTGACTCTTCAAATTTTTGATATCCTTCGTCTCCTCATAACCTGGCATTGTGACAAAGCTTCCTTTCATACTCTGCTACGTATGAAAATGTACCGACTCAAAGAAACCCTGATTCCTACATGAACATAGATTTGGCAAAGCAGGGAATCCGATTATTGCCATTTTGAACCTGAAGTTAGGGCAGAAAGTTTGAAAATTTGGATTCGGAAGATTTTTAGCACTAAAAATTGCCATTGTCCTTACTTGTTGACGTTTATGAGGCTGATTAGGAACTCCAAAGTCAAAAGAAGCATGCCCTTGCCTACCAAATCAGTTGGGCCTCCACAGAAGTTGGAGAGTGGATGTGGAGGAAATGGCATCATTTTCTTCCACATTTGTTGCCACACAACACTGGTTGCACAAAATCAACCACATATATACAATTATACCTCTGCATTGCCTCATCTTTGAAGAAAGAGCTAAGGAACACCATCCCTGCTGCACTTAAACCTTGCCAAAAAATAAACACCACCATGTTCCCATCTCGTGTGTGCTTCTGGATCCCCTGCAACCATTTCCCTGTACTTTCACTTCGCAAAAGATATCAGGCATTTGACTACTATTAAAAAAAAATATTCCATTCCCACTCAAACATCAATATTCCGATTCGTTTTGCACCCAAAATTTTGCTGTTAGAACTGCTCTACTTAAAAGTTTCTGTTGACCGACTATTCCTTCTATACAAACCGCTGAACAATATACGAGTGCCTTCGTAGTGAGCATTTTGTCATCCATACTTGCACTTAAAAGCTGTAAAATACAGGTGTCCAAACAGTTGGACAACAGATAAGCTCTTGTGTCAGTAGTGCAAGACATAACTGTTGCAGTGCAATGTGTATCTACACCCCACGGGCCAACCATTAGAACATACTATATTGCATAACTCGCATACAGCACTCCTGCGCTTCGCAATGCATGTCTGCCATGGTGGATCAGCAATTACGGTGCTCAGCTGCTACCCAGAAGGTCGCAGGTTCAATAACGTCTGTGGCAGTGAAATAGTTGAGGCCCAAGTACTGTGCAGTCGGTTCACATTACAGAAAAAAAAATGGTAGAGCTTTCCAGTCCTCCACTCCGGGATGAAAAACCCCGGGCACTGTTACTGGAGAACACAGACGAAAGGACCTTGCAAAGCCCAAACATTGTTGCCTTCACTTATCACAGACAACACTGGCAGACTTATCAGCCTGTCACATTAGCTCGCTTTGGAGTAACGGCTATGCATGCATGATTGAGTGTGTGCCTATCACTTAAGTGTCCTACTTTACTCTACTTGGCCTGATTGTGGTAAGGTTAGTGACTTCTAACATATGCTCTGGTGGTGCCCCTCGTTACTGGACCAAAGTCGGCTCACAGGAGAGGATTGGGACTCAGCCTTACGAAGTTCAGAGTTACTACCACAACTAACGGGCTCTCCAGAGAAACCACGATGTGGCGGTGAGGCTAGGCATTCCCATTCCTACATGGAACCCGCAATGTTGCTCTAAAAAAGTAGCGCTTCTCAGGACCCAATAAAGTTCTGTGTCTGTCTGTCTGTCTACTACCCCTGGTCCTGCCTTTCCCTAATTGACCATCTATTGCTGTGACATAGTAGGCTCCACGCCATACTGTTGTAAAAGCAGTTTCTAGTGATCATGGATGCTGCTGACAGCTACGATAAGATCAGCATGTGCCTCACAGGCTGAATCTCCCTTCATTCAACTTGAACTTCCATTGTCGCCATTTCTGGTAGAGTGATCATCTTGCAATCGGAGGCCTTTCATTGAAAATTAAAGCAGATTATAAATGATGCACACATAATTAAACTTGACATGCCACATAATGACTCCATCAGAGACTGATTTCTTGGAAATTACATAGTTTAAGCATGAACACGCAATAAAACACTCCAGAAACTAACAGTTCTACAACCAAGTTGTGATGAACAATTTATGCAAGGCTATAAAAATTGCATTGCGACTAACGTAAGATCCCAGGCAAGCACCCACCCATCCTTTTCGGGAGATCTCAAGTATGTGGTCCCCTCTGCCTCCATGATTTTAACTTTTTTTAATTTGCTCCATGAGGAAAAATTAAAACAGTGAGAATGCATATACATTCAGTGAAGCATTTCATCAGAAGCATGGGTGTGCATTTAAGTCCACGAATGAGCCAGAGCCCTCCGCCAAATCTTCTTGCATTATTCTTCAGTCTTGATTCAGTGAACTTCGGTGGGAGCATGCAACAGCTATAACCCTGTTGTGTGACTTCTTGGAACAGTAGTTCCAGTTAAAACAGGCACTAAGCCACAATGTACAAGAGAGAAGATGCACCTTTAAATGCATTTCAGGTCAAACAACTGATGACTCTCTAACGTACTTCACAAAGCAGACACCCATAGAGGGTCGTAACACAGGCTCAACAAAAAAGAAGCTTTCATTGATGCAAATGATACGGTGACAAAACAAAAAAATGGTGGACTAAAAGCTGACAACAATGAATGAGAACAAGACAGCCATGTAAGAGGAAGAGGGGACCAGCTTTTGACAAGCCGAGCACTTGCACTCATCAATGCAGCACTTTCTCTGAGGTACACAGGCGACGACAACAGCTGTCACTCATCCCCAAACAATGGCGAAATCCCCTTTTCTGTTAGCCCATAAATAAAACAAGCTTAAGTGGCCTTATCCCATGCTGCCACAGATGAACCATTTCACTTGGCAATCTAGTACAAAAACAAGCGGAACAAGAGAGCACCTTGAAAGGAGCCATGCTGTCAAGGCTCCCTGGTTGATTTGGAGAGGCATTTTTGCTTGAATTATAATTGCCATTTCTGACCAGCACATCCCTTTTGGTGCCACACTGTAGTCAATATTTGGACAGCATCACTGCACTTCTTCTGTTGCAGGCGAGAAAAAAAAAAAAAACTAATAGCAAAATTCTCTGGCAGGAACAGGAATTTGCCCATCTCATGGCTTGTTCACTTTGAAAACCCTCCCTTAAGTGAACTGTAAAAACCAAAATAATGCAGCCGAGCAATTATGAAGGATAATGCTGAGATCGATGAATTCAGGTGATGCAAGCAATCATTCATGAAAGTAGTAGTATGCAGAGCGGGGTCCTTTTCGCGAATCTCCAATAAGTTAAGCGACGGTGGCAGAGACAAATGCGGCAATAGAGCCTATGCACAAAATGTTCAGTGAAGACTGCCGGTCTCGCCAGAGTCCTGCTGCCGCCCGGAAGCATGCCGCCGTTTCACAAGTCGTCTATGCTTGGTAGCCAGAAGGCCTGCACACAAGAAAATAAAGCAGCATCGTGTTTAATGTCTGCACTCTGAAATTTACGGGCTAATCCAGTAGCATGATTTAAGGGGACACACGGCTCTTTGAACCCGAAAATTTGCCCAAAAATCAAATTATCAGAAGTGTCATATTCATATTCTTTCTACCATCGTGCACCTGTGTGCAAGTTTTCGTTTCAAATCCCGCATATTAGCGGCGTAGCAGCAAATCAAAGATGCACTGACAAGCCCCCAGCTCTTTAGATTGTGGACAAATTGTGCTCATTTTGACTGCCTGTCTCTTTTTAATGGCCCACTCCAATTCGGCCATTTTGATATCACTGAAAAGCTCTCGCGTTTAGCTTCTTTTATTTATTTACGGATACTGTCAGTCTTTACATAGAGCCATTACAGAAGTGGAAAAAGAAGTACAGCAAAACATAGCGATCCTTCTAAAAACAGAGCATAGTTAACAAACATAATGAGAAGTAACAAATTGGAAGAAAAGAATGAAGTCATCAAAAAAAAAATGCAACCAAGAACTTAATCACTGAATGCACTAGAGCATGCAGAGACAAATAAAGCATTATTAATTATAAACAAGAATATGTGATAGGTGTTTTAAAAACATATATATGAATGAACTTGAAACGGCTTCATCGCTCAACGAATTCCATTTATTGATAGCTCTTGGGAAAAAGCTATACTTAAAACAATCGGTGGAAACAGCAAGTGCAGGAATAAACGTTGAAGGGCGATGTCTAGAAGCTTCAGTATGAAAATTATCGAAATATTCAGCATACCTTATATGAACATGGTCATTAATAATGAGGTAAAGATAGCAGTTCTTGCTACAACTTCTTGCTTATAGCAGTTCTTGCTGTAATATACAACGTTCTAATCATTCCTTTTTTTCTTTTCCCTGTGAGCCCTGATGATGTTTCTACAGCAATCAAAAGTCTCAAAGAAACTGGCCCTGGTATAGATAAAATCTCAGCACGACACTTAAAACTTGCTGCAGACATTATTTCTGAACCACTTTCTATAATTATAAACCTTGCGTTCAAGCATGGCAGTTTCCCTACTTCTCTAAAAATAGCTAAAGTCCTTCTGATATTTAAAAAAGTAGACAAGCAATCTACTTCTAACTATCGCCCCATCTGTATTCTTTCTTCCCTGAGCAAAGTCATCGAAAAACTATTAATAACTCGGCTAAACAAGTACCTCAATAAATTTAATATACTGAAGCCCTGTCAATTTTTCTTTCGCACTGGAAGTTCTACTAACCTTGCTATTCTTTCCCTATTAGACTTCATCAAACACTCCATAGACGCAGGATTTGTAGTAGGGTCAGTTTTCTTAGACTTCACAAAGGCATTCGATACCATTAATCATCTCATTTTATCCGAGAAACTTGAATCATACGGTATTACAGGTCCATCCCTCAAATGTTTTTTAAACAGTTACCTCCTTAACAGAAAGCATACTGTTTACATATCGGGCTCATTTTCTTCTACTAAAACAATAAATCAAGGGGTTCCTCAAGGGTCATTACTGGGTCTGTTACTTTTTTTACTTTACATTATGACCTTCCTGACATTATACACATGGCTCACTGCATTTTATATGCTGATGATACTACCATTTCCACTGCTGATAGATGTATTGGCGTCACTAATAAATTAAATGCTGTACTTTGTAGCGTGTCAAAATGGTGCCAGGAAAATTTCATTATTATTAATCCAAAAAAATCAAAGTTTATGGTTTTTAGATCAGCTCAACGCAAGTTAACTTCCTCACCACAGCTCACAGTTGACTCTCATTTGATTAATATCAGCGACAGTGTATCTTTTCTTGGCGTTCACCTCGATGCTAACCTTAACTTCGCTGTACATATTGCTCACATTAGAAAAACGGCAGCATTCGGCATTCGTGCATTACTCAAGCTCGCTCATATTTGTCTCATAAAGCACTCTTTTCACTTTACTTTGCATTCATTCATTCTCATATCACTTATCGCATTGCATCATGGGAAATACTTACCAGTGTCATCTTTCTTCCGTACAACATCTACAATATCGAACTATTCGCGCAATTTTTAACTGTTCTCGAGACAGAAGCGCCGCTCCCCTTTTTCGATGCAATGAAATCTTAACTGTTAGCTATCTATTTAGGTTTATTGTAATTATGTTTCTGCATAAACAAATAAGAAATCAACTTTCTGCTAATTTCATTGATCCTAATATGTTAGTTAATACTAACCCAACCAGGTTTGCGGCTAATAATAACTTTTTTACTTCCGAAGGTTCGTACTAACTATGGTAAATCATCTTCTCTCTTCAGTACCATCACCATATTGCCACCCACACGTAGTGCGTCGACTGCAAGAGCGGCTCTACCATCTGGAGGAAAGAAAGAAGATTGCGTGCCTTTTTCTCGACTCGAGAGCCAGCCACGACTTACGCATCGTCCCAGCGCTAGCTATTCGGTGGTTCAATAAACCCCCAGTACCTGTAATTCATCATGAAAAATTGGTGGAGGTGCTCGGTAGTCTCACGGATGCTACAGACCCCCCCAGGAAGCCGTAATACGAGTCCAGTGCCAGTCAATACTCCCGTGCATCGGACCAGCCGCCGAATCAGGGGATTGCCTCCGGACGTCGACGATACTGCTCCCACCACGACAACAAACATGACCAGCACTTCGGTACAAACCTTGCGAACCGGCACGGGAAGCACGTCGTGAACCGCTATACGTTGGAAAGCCCATGGACACCGGCGACGTTCCATGGTAAGGAGCGCGAGGACGCTGAGGACTGGTTGGCGGACTTCGAGCGCGTAGCCACCTTGAACCAGTGGGACGACGCGGCGAAACTGGGTCGTGTCTACTTCTATCTCGAAGACATGCACTTGGTACGCACTTGGTATCAAAATAGAGAGCCAAAATCAAAAACGTGGCTTGAATTCTCTCGTAGACTTCTGCAGACATATGCCGGCGCTGACATTCCCGGCAGCCCTTGACGTACCTCTTGACGCTTGTCGAAAGTCCTGGCCAATAGTATCTCCCGCTCACTCTGGCAAGTGTCCGTGAGTAGCCCAGATGACCGGATGTGGGTTCGTCATGGCAAGCAAAGAGGAAGGACGTCGTCTCGCATGTCTCAAGGAACTACCAGGAGGTAGGCACGGTTGTTCGAACGAGCGTTCTTCTTGTACAGCACACTGTCTCGGAGTCAGAACGACGGCAACGAGCGAAATAAATGACTTGGTACGATTGTGCCCTGGCCCTCTAAATGATCGATGATCGAACGAATCTCTGCGTCATCCCGCTGCCGTTTGCTCAAGTCTGATGAGCTAATGGCGCCCAGGAAGCCTTCGTCTTCCTCTTGTAGCGGAAGCTGCTAAGCACCACCGCATTCTTTTCTATCCCGTCTGCAGCCGGCCGTCGACAGCGCGCCTACTCGCGGCGCCAGCTCCTCCTCCTCCGTGTTCGGAGAACAACGTGTTGTCGGGGCCGGCTCCGGGGATTAGACCGGCGGCATGCTACGTCTGCTCGCTTGGTGGCCCCCGTTTCCTCTTTCTTGTAGAAGAACGCGGGGGTGCCTCCTCCTCTCCCTCGTCGAGGGGAGCTCTCGTCACTCGCACGGAGTGGAAATAAACAGTCTTGCCCTGCAACTCCAAACCTGCTTCACGTCTCCTTTCTCGCTGCCTCCGGCAGCCGACATTTCCGGCCGCTACAAAATTGGTGACCCGAACGCTTCAACGAACACGCCGCGATGAGCTCCGACGACAACGCTGCTGCCTCCACGCCTGCGGTCATCGCCACAGAACTGAAGCTACCAAATTTTTGGCCGAAAAATCCAAGAGTTTGGTTCAGCCAAGTGGAGGCCCGTTTTCAACTCCGGCACATCACCTCGGAGTCGACAAAATACCTTCACGTCGTCGCAGCCCTGCCCCCCGAAATCGCCGACGCTATCGACGACATTTTGGTTTCACCCCCCGCGCAAGAAGAATATGACACCCTCAAAAAGACGGTGCTGGACCGCCTCGAGGCGCCTGAAGAAAGCAGACTGCAGCAGCTCTTGTGTCGCGAAGAGCTGGGCGACCAACGACCTTCCCAACTGCTGCACCGTATGCGGCAACTACTCGGTGTGCACGCGCGTCAGGACGGCCAGCTCCCACTTCTTCGTGAACTTTTCCTGCAACGGCTCCTCCAGTCGGTGCGCGTGGTTCTCGCGGGTTCAAATGAGACGTCCCTTGATCGACTCGCGCAACTTGCCGATCGCATCACGGAATACTCAACTCCAACCTTTGCGCCCATAGCTGCTGCAAGAACACATGAGCAACCAGATCGACTGTCGCGCCTTGAGGAGAAACTGCAACACCTTACCGAGACCATGCAGAAACTTGTGCTATCTGGCACTCCCCAACAGAACGAGCAACGACGCAACCGATCCCCTTCAAGACACCCAAGCTCTTCCCAGAGAAGCCATGCACGAGATACACAGGACGGAGTTTGCTGGTACCACCGTCGTTTCGGCACGGGTGCTAGCCGCTGCACTCAACCTTGCTCGTTTCCGGAAAACGCTCCGGCCAGTCGTTAACGGCGGCTTACGACATCGGCCCTCCACCCAGCCGCCTGTTTTCGTAGTCGACCGCGTAAGCAACTCGCGCCTGCTAGTCGACACGGGAGCCGAAATCTCTATTGTCCCGGCAACCCCCGAGGATCGCCGACGTAGCAAGAACACATCGTCGCTGCAGGCAGTGAACAACACTGCCATCGCTACGTACGGCTTCCGTTCGCTGACAATAGACGTCGGACTCAGGCGCCTGTTTCGCTGGGTCTTCGTGGTGGCGGATGTTAATTTCGCCATACTCGGAGCAGATTTTCTCAGCCACTTCAACCTGGATGTGAGCGTACGTGACCGTTGCCTCAAGGATAACAACACATCTCTCAAAGTACGTGGTTTGGAGTCAAACATCTGCTCATCTGGCATCTGCGCCTTCCAGCC